TTCATCCATTTCAGGAAGTGGCATATGATCTAGAACCAATGCTACTGAAGGAGGAAGCCCAAGCTGCAATGAAAGAATTGGCGAAGAACAAGGCTCCAGGAACTGATGGAATACCCATTGAGATATTTCAACAAACGGATGCCCCATTGGAGGCACTCTCTCGGTTATGCCAAGATATTTGGAAGACAGCCACCTGGCCAACTGACTGGAAGAGATCCCTATTTGTACCCATTCCAAAGAAAGGTGATCCCACGGAATGTGGAAATTATAGAACAATATAATTAATAGTGCATGCAAGTAAGATCTTACTGAAGATAATTCAGAAACGTTTGCAGCAGTATATTGACAGAGAACTTCTAGAGGTGCAAGCTGGATTCAGAAGAGACGTGGAACAAAGGGTATCATAGCTGTTGTCAGATGGATCTTGGCTCAAGGCAAAGAATACCAGAAAGATGTTTACTTGTGTTTTATTGACTATGCAAAGGCATTTGATTGTGTGGATCATGACAAATTATGGATAACATTGAGAAGAATGGGAATTCCCAAATACTTGATTATACTCATGAGGAACCTGTACCTTGACCAGGAGGCTGTTGTTCGAACGGAACAAGGGGACACTACATGGTTTAAAATCAAGATGGGAACGCATCCGGGTTGTATCCTTTCCCCATACTTATTCAATCTATATGCTGAGCAAATAATCTGAGAAGCTGGACTATATGAAGAAAAACGTGGCATCAAGATTAGAGGAAGAATCATTAACAACCTGAGATATGCAGACAATACAACTTTGCTTGCTGAAAGTGAGGATAACTTGAGGCACTTACTGATGAAGGTTGAAGAATACAGTCTGCAGTATGGATTACGTTTCAATATAAAGAAAACAAAAATCCTCACAACTGGACCAATGAGCAGCATCACAATAAATGGAGAAAAGATTGAGGTTGTCAAAGAATTCACATTGCTTGGTTCTACAATCGATGCCAATGGAAGCAGCAGTCAGGACATTAGACAACGTGTAGCACTGGGAAGGTCAACCGTGAAGGAACTGTTTCAAGTGCTGAGGAGCAAGGATGTCTCCTTGAGGACTAAGGTGCACCTGACACAAGCCATGATATTTCCAATCACCTCACATGCATGTGAGAGCTGGACAATGAACAAGGAAGACCGAAGAAGAGTTGATGCTTTTGAGTTGTGGTGCTGGCAAAGAATGCTGGAACTATGATGTACTGCTAAAAGAACTAATAGATCTGTCCTGGAGGAAGTGCACCCAAAATGCTCCTTAGAAGCAAGAATGACCAGGCTTCATCTCACCTGTTTTGGTCATGTTGTCAGAAGGGACATTCCCTGGAGAAGGATGTCATGCTTGGTAGGGTGGAGGGTCGACGAAAGAGAGGGAGGCCTTCAACGAGATGAATTGACACAGTGGCTGGGATGATGGGCTCAAGTATAGAAGGGATCATGGACCTGGTGTGGGATCTGGCAGTGTTTCATTCTGTTGTGCATGGGGTCGCTATGAGTCGGAAATGACTCAACAGCACCTAACAACAACAACAACGTGAACTCTGAGCCTATCTTCTTCATGAACGGGGTCTCAAATTCTTAGTAACATGTACGCTGAACATCAGTTTAATAGTAAGTGTGCTGTCAAAATAGAAAGAACACTGTTAACTCATGGCCAAGAGCTGAGGGAAGGAAAACATAGTTGTGCTTGGAAATGGTAACGGAAGCCTTAGGAAAAAGCACAATAATGAATGTTTCAGAAATAAAAATTATGATGTGTGTGTATACATGTGCAGTTGGAGACCAGAAAGAAGAGAATTCACACTTGCTGATATTGCTATGAGCCAAGTGAGAAGACCTTTTTTCTCTCACCTTTGATAAGTACAGTGTAAGGATACAGCAGTTGGCAGAACTCTAACTTTAAGTGGGGATGTGACTACACATATGTATGTCATTGTGGTGTAGTAAATTACCTAGTATGGCTTTTCTAGCCATAAGTCTTTGTAAACTCCATGGTGGAATTTGCTGTGAGTCACTGAGTAGCTCCTGATTGCTAAAGTTATCCACCTGGGGTATTTCTGTTGAATAGTGGCACAAAGCAATGTTCCAGGAAGTTCGGTCTCTCAGGTGCTTAGAATTCCAATGTTATGACTGGCTAGTCTGGCCACTCTGCCAGGCTCAAAAGGAGGCCTCTTAGAGGCAGAGGTCTCTCTGACTGCTGGTTGAGAAGAAACGCACACCTGAGAGAAACATGCTCCTGAGAGAAACATGCTCCTGAGAGACATGTACTGCTGAGAGAAGCACTGACAGACACACACTGCTGGGAGAGAGACTGTGAGAGACAGTAGGCTGAGAAACAGCAGGCTGAGAGAGACTGAGTGCTTTTCCTGAACTTGAATTGTAGCCTGGTGCTTCCCTAATAAACCCCATAATCTGTGAGTTCTATGTGGCCACTGCAGTGAATTATCAAACCCAGCAGAAAGGTGGTGAGTGCTGCGGGAGGAACAGTTGGTGTCGGGGTTGGTGAAAGGGATGGAGGGAGGCAGCATGTCTGGACTCACAAGAAGAGGCCTTAGGCTACTGATGATAACTCTGTCTTCCTCTTGTGGGGTTAGAGGTCAGGAGATGTGGCCTCCTTGCCCCTTTTGTAGTCATAAATAACAACAGAAACATGAATAGCTAGCTAAGTGTAATTCCATAGGCATACAACTAGCTAAATACTGGCTCAACCCTAAATAGTGGCTAACATCTATACTAAAAACTATATTTCTAAAAATTCATATATAAAATATGCTTAGAGTATTAAGTTACTTTCAGCTTTCAGAAGCTTTGATAATTGATATTGGTATGAGAACAGTATAATTTTAACATGGACATTTAGAATAACCAATCCTCAGTCTTCATTTCTTATAACATATATACTCTCTTTCGCCTACTTCTTTTTCTTAACACCAAATTTCTCCTTAGAATAAACATAGCAGAAAAATTCATATGCTATGGGGTTTGGCCACAGTGAACTCTTAGTTGAGAGGGGAAGGTGGATCCAAGAGCTATACTAGCAGCATCTGGTTCTGAAGACAGAGAATTCAAGTAGTGAGGGGAAGCAACTGGGAAGCAGTAAGCCCAGAGGTAGTCTGTAATGCAGTTGTGTCAGAGCCATCTAAATTCACAAGGCAGGGGTAGAATCAAGATCAGCACAAAGCTGATTCCTATGAGGTAGAGGTCAAACATAACTCTATTCTCTAAATTCTTTTTTTTTTCCATCCATGTTTTATTGGCAAGTTTATTGATTAAACCCTAGTCTTATGTAATCTTTTTTTTTAAATTTTATTGTGATTTGGGTGAAAGTTTACAGAGCAAATTCATCTTCCATACAGCCAGTTCACATATACTTTGTCTCGTGACATTGACTGTAATCTCCCACAATGCAACAGCTCTCCTCCCACTTCCTCCCCATAGCCACCTTGTCCCTATGTCCTTTCCTCTTATGCACTCCTGCCCGCTGAGCTGTATCCCTGTGCATATACAGCCCTTCTATTCTCCCATGATTGACCTTTCCCAAGGAGTGTATCTACCTAATGTAAATGTTTAGCTCACATGCCTGTCTTTTGTTTGGCTGGAAGCCACAGGACACTCTCCAAATTCTTCACTGATTCTGACACCTGCCACCTTCCCCATGGCACACTCTACTTCTCTGCTTTCTTCAGTAATTCATTGCAATAGCCACCAAGAACTCACAGACCATACTCACGATTATGAGGTTTATTAGGGAAGTAAGAGGTCAGTATCAAGATCAACTGATTGTAGTTCTTGCTGGACAACTCAAGAGACAGTATACAGGGTACAGTTCGTCAGTTAGGACAACTTCCAACATAGCTCTTAGCTGCTTATCAGCTGCCTCTACAGGCAGGACCTTCACTGAAGCCTACTGTTGCCAGGTTCTGCTCAGGCCTACCACCACTGAGCCCCACTGGGCATGGACTGTGCCACAACTGTTTTAGATTCACTGATAAGTGCCTAGAAGCACCACACTCTGCCATGCAAGCCAAAGGCACTCAGCTCTTGCAGCCATCTCATACTGGTTCCTTTCTTACTGCCACTTGTACTGCTGACACTCATGCTGTTGCACCCATTTCACACCATCTCCAACGTTATCTCTCTCTCTCTCCTGGGTCTAGAAGATTTTCAGCACAGGGACTCTGTGCCGAGAGAACACGCACTGCTCCACGTTCTTCTTCTGGTTCGTAGTGAAGTCCCCCTCAACTTCTGTGGAATCAGCCTTGTATAAGCCTACTCCTCCCACCAAGACCACAAATTGACCACTCCACTCAGCAGGTTATAGCCACTTAATTTGCAAAATAACCAAACAATCCCCAAGAGTTTTACATAGCTTATTTACATGGTAAACTGCCCACTCCCTGAAAGTTATGTAAAATAGATGGATCAAAGAGCAGGCTGTGGCCCAACCAATTATTTTTGGCAGAATTATAAACATAAGGCCACAAAGGCCATTGGGCCGCAACTCATAGCGACCCCTCCTTGGGTTTCTGAGGCAGTATCACTACGGAAGTAGATTGCCCCATCTTTCTTCCGAGGAGTGGTTGGTGGGTTTGAACCACCAGCCTTCTGGTTAGCAGTCAAATGCTTTAGGCACTATGCTACCAGAGCTCCCATATATATATATGAGAAATCCATTGTAATGCAGTCTTAAGAAAACTCCAGGGAAATGGGAGTGATAAAGCACAGTGGTAAATTGATGTGCTTTCCCCATGCTCCTTTCTACTGCTGCCCTCCATTGGGCTCCGTTCCTATGTTAGGACAAGTGAGATTGCAGGATTTATGCTAGGTTGTGAGAATTTATTTTTGAAGCAAGGAAGAAAGAAGATAATTAAGTGCTTACAAGGCTTATATTCATAGTTCACTAGAGATTAATATAAATGTTCAGTCATTGCAATACTGGTTTGCTCAGTTTCTGCTTAAAAAAAAAAAAAAAAGGCCCTGCCCTAGATGCCATAGGGTACTCAAAAATGAGACAGAAATGGTTCCAGTCCTGTGAGGGCTAATTGTGTAGTAAGCAGTGATATATTTTATACACAAGGGTAATACAAAGTAGACACAGCATGCTATACTATTAAGAGATGCTGTAGGAAATCAGAGAAGGAAAGGGGGGAAGAATCAAAGAAGACTTTGTTGAGCTTCTGATCTTCATCTTCAATGTGGAAGAAAGCATTCCAGGTAGAAGGAACAATATGAGCACAACTTAAGGGTAGCAAAGTATGAGAATGTGTTTAGTGAGTGATGAGAAGTCCACTTGGGCAGGAATAGAATGTATAAGACAAAGCAGAGTATGCAAGACGAAGCTGGAGTGGCAGTGTTTTGTATCTATCTAATGTCTTTGTGTAGTAGAAAAAGCATTAGACCAGGAGGCAGAAGACCAGGGTTCTAATCTGGTTTTGCCACTATCTAGCTGTGTAATGATGAATAAATCACTTTCTCCAGGCTTTTACTGTCCTCATCTGGAAAATTTAGGAGGTAAACTATATTCACCAGGATTGTTTTCAGCTCTTACTAGCCTGAGTTCTTTATCTAGAAGACTTAAAGATCCAATTTTTTTCCACAGATCTCAGTGACAAGCAAAGAGAGTAAGTTTCACTGCCTACACATCTCAGATGGCAACTATTAAGACCTCGCCAAAGTTTTTCAGTCATCTCACCTGAAATCTTCCCCATCACTGAGGGCTTCATCCTTTGTAACCCTGAGGTGCCTGGATTTAACAGTCATCTTGGCCACTTTCTTCTTCGTTGGACCTTCATTGGCTGGATCCCCAGGATCACGGCAGCTTCTTTTCTTCTTTCCTTGCGAAACTTTGGAAAGAAAGGTCTTTTTGGGGGGTTTCTCATCTTCAAGGACATCTGGGTAACCAATGGAACATGAGATGAATGACAAAAAGAAAGATGGAGGCAGTTTGGTTTAATGTGCAAGGTCATAAAAAGTTGTCTTCCATAACCTCTCTCTAAACTGTCTCCATCACCAGTTCACCACTGCACGTCTAGTAAAACAACCAACTTTCAGCCTCATCCCACCTTTACTTTAGTCTATGTTCACATTAAAAACCATCTACTTTAATCAGCATTTTATTCTATTCATCTGAGGCCCATATAACTCAAATGAAATCTAACTTCCAAATAGTAAATTTCAGCTCATCACTGGCAAGGGAATAAACATGAATCTGTTAACATCTTCTTTCTTACTACCTACCAAGACTTAATTATTTGTTTTAGGCCTAATTCATACCTATTGAGTAAACTATTTCAAGTGCATAAACATGCCCAAGTATAACACTTTATTTCCACTATTTCATGTTTCTGCCATCTTTCAAAATCAAACTCTGCTCAAAACACATACAGCAATTACCCAAATTACCCTCTTACACCAACCACTTCAAAAAAATGTATGGTTGCCATAATAATTCAAAAATATCTTCATATTCTTAAAATAATCATACTTACATTTTGTGAAAGGAAAATACTTAAAAAGTAAACCTCTGAAACTGTTGCCTTGAGATAATCTTTAAACTCTGAAGTCTTCTTAAAACAAACCATAATTTAGCTTAACAAGTAAAGAATGTATGCTTTGAGAATTGTGTTCTTTCAAGATCTACCTATGTGGGATCAAACTGGCAACAGTAACACGGAAGATTAGATAGGAAACTTAGGGGGCAGTGATTTAATATTAATGAGGGAAAAACAACTCAGAAAAGGGGGGGTGAGAATGGCTGTACAATTCGAAGAAGGTAATCAATGTCACTGAATTGTACATGTAAAAATTGAATTGGTATATGTGTTGCTGTGTATATTCTCAACAAAATAAATTTTTAAAAAAAGTGAACAAGCTTTTGTTTTATGTCAAATTAGGCTATCTAAAAGTATGCTGTTTATTTATATTAATGAGTTAATTTTTAACAAATAAATACTTTATAAAAAATAAGGTAGGGAAGAATATTTTTCTTCTTTGCAAATACATTCTCCCAAACAATCACAGATCTGAAATAAGTCATCATCCTTTGCCTTTGTATGACTCTGACTCTGTTTCAACTAATTTTGGAAAACAAAAATACTCTAGTCTTTACAGAGGTGCCAAAAGGAGCTAATATTAATCTGAAATACCAAATTCATTCATCCCTTTCATTTAAGGCCTGTCCTAATGACTCTGAACAGGTATTTATACTTACAAAGAGTGTACTGTGCATGGGGAGAAAAAGACTCTCCTTTTTCATCTCACTGAAATAATAATTTAAATTAAATAACAAATTTTAAGGACACTACTTTTAATGCTAAATAAAATCACTGATTCAGTCATTTTTTGTGCATTAATGATATACATCTGGCAATAACAATGCCAAGGTGTGAGGCAAGAGTAACACTGGCTGTGATGAGTAAAGCTATGTGTCAACTTGGCTAGGCCATGTTTCTCAGTGGTTTGGCAGTTATGTAATGATGTAATTCAGCAGTTATGTATGATGTTATCTGGCAGTTATATAACGATCTTCCATTTTTGCATAACACCAGTTCTCGCATAACAACCTGGTCTTTGAAACTCAACCATGTTGATAAATGAGAAGTGGGTATATAATAAAAAATAAAGAGAAATTTTGAAAACCCAAAAATTTCAAAATTAGTTATTTAAGATATGGGAAGAAATTTCTTATTTGTAGGCCAAAGGATGCTTAAGAGTTTATGGCTTGACAATTTAAGTAGGGTATCAAAATTATAATTTGTAGGTCTAACAATTGTCTTCAAGCCTCTACTAATAAACAAAGATGCTAAATACTTCACAGAGGTGGAAAGACACTTCAGAGGTACCATTTGCTCCCCATGATACTATCTGGTTGATTAAAAGGCTTAACTGTATGGTATATTATTTCTGTGTTTTGAAGAGAGAGGTGGGAAGACTTTAAAAGAAAAGAAATAAATCAAAAATCATTATTTATAATAACAAAATATTTTTAGAGCTTTGAATGCATAGCCAGAAGATAATCATTAAGTAAATTACAGTACAATCACGTAGGAATTGTACCAATCGTCTTTTAGGGTGAAAGAAAATGATATACGATATGTTAAAAATGCAAAGTTATTTTTATAGTGAAAACAAAGGACATATTGGAAAGAAATACACCAGTATTTGTGGTAATTATTTCTGGATAGTAGAAATATTATTGACTTTCTTTTGCCATTTTACTCTTTGTTGTGTTTTTTGGTCCGAGAGACTTTAGAGGCGCTGTTCCAGGACTCTACAGAATTTGAAGTTATCTAATATGCCTGAGCAGCCTCCTTCTGTTGAGCTCAATGTAGTTATTTCACTAGGGCAGGATCACCACTACGGGTTGTTTGATGTCCACAAAGATCTAATAAAACACCTACTTAAACCTTCCAGTGGCATCTCAGAGCTGTCAGAATAAAATGCAAACTTTTTAACTTGGCCTCCAAGGGTCTACATGATCTGGGCCCTGCCTACCTCTCTTACCTCAATTCTTACCCCTTGCCCCTCCACTCACTGTGCCCAGAACAACTAGCTTCCTTTTTGTTCCTCAAACTGACCAAGCTCATACTCCCCAAAGCACCTTCAAACTTATTGATCCCTCTGGAGAATTCTTGTTCCCTAGAACTTCCTATGAAGGGATCCTTCACAATATCCAATAATTGGCTCCAAATGTCATTCCTCAGATGCCTTCCCTGACCACTTATTCTAATTTAGCTGTCTCTTCCTGACAGCTTTATTTCAGTATCCTGTTTTATTCACAGCTCTCACCACCATGAGAATTTTTTTTTTAACTGGTAAAGAATGTCTGCTTTGAGCATTGTGCTCTTTCAAGATCTATCTATATGGGATCAAATTGGCAACAGCAATGCGAAAGATTAGATAGAAACCTTACGGGGCTGTTGTTGTTATGTGCCCTCCAGTCGGCCCAGACTCATAGCGACCCCTCCTTGGGTTTCCAAGGCAGTATCACTAACCGCGGAAATAGGATTGCCCAACCTTCCTTCCGAGCTCAGTGACCTTATATTAATGAGGGAGAAACAACTCAGAAAAGTGGGGTGAGAATGGTTATCTGCCCTAACTACCCCTCCCCAAAGATAATAAACACTATGAGAGCAGGAACCTTGCCTGTCTTGTTCACTATTATAATTCCAGCACTTAAAACAGTACCTGGAAATAGGAGGTGCTCAATAAATATTTGTTGAAGAACTGATGAATTACATCAATGAAAGCATTATGAAGAAATCAGAGGTGCCCTAATACAAACAAAGCAATAATGTAGAAGGCTGTTTTCTTAGTTCCTCACTGCTGCAAGCAACCAAGTGTCACATTCATTTATATGTACATTTCTACGCTGTTAATGTTGTTGTTGTTATTTGCCATCGAGTCGGCCCTGACTCCTAGCGACCCTTCCTTGGGTTTCCGAGGCAGTTATCACTACGGAAGTAGGACTGTCCAACCTTAAAGCCCAGAGTTATTTAAGAAATTCTACACTGAATCCTCATCAACAGCGTTACCTCTAGTCCAAACCACAATTGCTAAATCTGTGCTTCTCCACCAATCCACAGCAAAGATTATAACTTTTCAGACCTTGGAAGTTGCTTTGGAAACCTATAAATGCCTCTGGCTGGCAGAGTTTGAGTGAAGCTTGGGTGTATCCTTATCTCCTGTGATGGTTAATGTCATGAGTCAACTTGGCTAGGGTGATTCACAGTGGTTTGGCAGACACTACATAATCACCAGGAGCTCTGGTAGCGTAGTGCCTAAGGCACTTGACTGCTAACCAGAAAGGTGGCGGTTCAAACCCACCAGACACTCCTCGGAAGGAAGGTAGGGCAATCTACTTCCATAGTGATACTGCCTCAGAAACCCAAGGAGGGGTCACTATGAGTCAGGTCCAACTCCACGGCACCTAACAACAACATAATCACCTTCCACTTTGTGATCTAATGTGAGCAGCCAGTCAAATGAAAGGGAAATCTTCTTGGGGGTGTGGCCTGCCTCCAGTATATAAATGAATGTTCCAGCAAAGCTCGTTCTTTCTCAGCCTTGCACGCTTCTTGTTGCCTGACCTTCAGTTGTTGAGACTTAAGGCCACAGAAGTCACTGGCCTGCTGCCTGACCTGCAGATTTTGGGTCTGTCAACCTCTGCAATCACATAAGCCAGCACAGATCTTTAGTTTGTCGCCTGACCCATGGGTATGGGACATGTCAGCCCCCACAACTGCATGAGTCATTTCCTTGAAGTAAATTTCTCTCTATATATGTTTTTTACGGGAGCTCTGGTAGCATAGTGCCTAAGGCACTTGACTGCTAACCAGAAGGCTGGCGGTTCAAACCCACCAGCCACTCCTTGGAAGGAAGGTTGGCAATCCTACTTCCGTAGTGATACTGCCTCAGAAACCCAAGGAGGGGTCGCTATGAGTCGGGGCCGACTCAAAGGCAAATAACAACAACAACAACGTTTTTTACATGTCAATGGTTTTGTTCCTCTAGAGAACCCAGACTCAAACACCTATGTTTAGGCTGAGTGATATTAACTAGCCCAACTGATTACCTAACTTGGGTCCAGGTGCCATGCCTGAAACTTTATATGCTATCTCCATGAACATTCACAACTGCCCTGCAAGGTAATATTGTTTCACAGATGAGGTTCAGAAAAGTTAAATTATTTGTCCAAAATAATTTACTCAAGGGCACATAACCCTAAATGTTAAAGCACACTAAGCTGGCTCCCAGGGCAAGTGTTGAATTGGATGAATATTACCCAGGAAGGAATCATTTCCATCCAATTCAAACCTTAAATTTTTGGATTGTGACATAGTCAGAATACATTGCCTCTGACTAGAGCATCCATTGCTTTTTATGGCCACTTGCTGAAAGATTAACCATCATTAAAGTTGCAGATCAAATATAACTCCTTCAGAGAGAATTCCCCATTCTCTTCAGTCAAACTTTTAACCAAGTCCAAGATTACAAAGCCACAAAACCTTTGTACCTTCTCCCATGATATTTAATATATCCTGCCTTGGATAGTTTATATGCAAATATTTTATGCACATTACTATACTCTAAGCTCCCTGAGAAATCTCTGTCTTCCATGCCACCTAGCAGGTATACAGCACATAGTAGCTACTCAAAAAATACCATATGAATGAACAGATAAGTAAATGAATGACTATAATAGAACTCATAATATTATTTAAATATAAAGTAAATTATCTTCTAAGTTTAGGAACTGTTGACTACTTCCTAATGGATGACGAACTTACAGTATGTGCAAAAAAAAAAAAAAAAAAACCAAACTCATTGCCATCTAGTCAATCCTGACTCACAGAGACGCCCACTGGGTTTCTGAAGCTGTAAATCTTTATGAAAGTAGACTGTCCCATCTTCCTTCTGCGGAGCAGCTGGTGGGTTTGAACCGCTGACCTTCTGGTTAGCAGTCATATGCCATATCCACTACATCACCAACACCAAAACCAAAATCACTGCCTTGAGTCAATTTCAACTCATAGCAACCCTTCCTTGGGTTTCCAAGGCAGTATCTCTAAGGAAGTAGGTTGCCCAATCTTCCTTCCAGCCTTCTGGCTAATTGTCAAATGCCTTAGGCGCTACGCCACCAGAACTCCACACCACCAGAGCTCCTATAATATGTACAGAAACATAGAATGTAGTGTTATAGGAACTCTTGTTGGTCACCTAGCCAAATCTTCTACCCACTTATTTCTGGAACCCCCAAAATCCCATCTACAGCACACATTGGCAACGATTTAAGATACTGACCACTTACAATATGTGGGGATGAGAATATGAGACAGACAAAATAGGATACAGCAAAAAGTGACACACTTTTATGGAGGCTAAATTCTGGTGAGTTAGGGAAAGGAAAGGAAACAAACAAATTAACAGAGTATTACAGACTATAACGGGTTATGAGGGGAGTAATTGGGATACTGTGACACATTATCTGGGGAAGATCACCTGAGATAGAAAGCTCTCTCTGAACTAAGCTCTGAAGGAATGGGAAGAACACAGCCAGGGCAAGAGCCAAAGAACAACATTCTAAGCAGAAGGAACATTAAAGACAAAAAGCTCAAGGTGAGAAATGATTTGGCAAAGTTTGAGGCCAATAAGAAGCGTATTTGGCAAGGAAAACAGTGGTAAGAGGAAACAGGAGAGGTAGTAGTAGCCAAATCATGTAGGATCTTGAAGGCCATAGTAAGGAATTTGGATTTTAAGCTAAGAGTAGTGTGAAACCATGGAATTTGAAATGGAGCATAACACAATCTAATTCTGCTGAGTGGAGATCTACAGAAGTAGAATAAAAAGGAGATCAGGAAACACAACAACTGCCATTCAACCAAAAGTAATGAGGGCTTACAAGGGCTATGGCCATGGAAATTAAGAGAAGTGGTCATATTTGAGATACATGCCTGAGGTTGAACTGACAAGCCTTGTTGATGGATTGGATGTTTGCATATAAGGAAAGGCAGGAAAGGGGGTATTGTTTAACGAGTGAAAGGATCCTTTATTAAAACAGGAAAAACTGGGGAAGGAACAAGTTTAAAGGGGAAATTCAAGAGCTTTGCTTTGCTCATGATAAATATAAGAAGCTTATTTATATCCAATAGCTTCGTGGAGAAATCACATCAGAGTCGAGTTCAGAACTCTGGTAAAGATTTAGCTTAAGAATTACTCTGGGAGTCAGCACACTAAAGCACTCTACGTCCTGGTCTGTCTTCTGAGAACATGCAATGTCTTCCCCATTCAGCCTTGAGCATATGCGAGAAGCCTATCCTCTGGGTAATGAGGAGCAGACATGAGACTACGCAGGGGAGCTCGTCGTCAGGTAGGGGTCCAGGGGGATGGCTCGGGCGCCCCACACTCCGAGTATAAAGAACAAAGGTGCAGGGACGTCGGGGAAGGCCGAAGTAGAGACTCAACCCGCCCGACACAGCTCCGCTTGCCTCCACAGTGGACCGTAACGCCGACTTACGCACCCTAGGGCCAGCTTCCGCCCTCACTCAGCGTATCACCCCGCGGCCCGTTCAGGCCTCGCTCTCACCCGCCTCCTCCTCCCCACGCCGGGCTGGGTTCTGGTCTTTCGCCTTCCGCCTGCGTGCTTCTCGTCGCCGCGGCTCCCCGGTGGCCCCAGGTCTCCGACCCATACCGCCGGACAAGATTCCGATCACGAAGGAAGGACCAAGCCACTGGAACACTGCCTTTGCGGGCTCCGCCCCTAAGCGGAGCGGATCTGGCCACGCCCCCTATCTTGGACAAGCTCCGCCCCAGCCCCGAATGACCAAAGTGAGCCGCAGGAAGCAAGAAAATACAAAACAGATCGCTTTACTTCCGGTACATCGCGTCCTAGCGTTTACGGAGAACGGATGCAGGAGGGTTATCGCGAGAGGAGGGAAACGGCGCAGGGTTTGAAACATGGCGGACGACGTGGACCAGGTGCGTGTGTTCAAAGGAGCTCGTTTCAGAGCGGCCTTGTCCCTGTTGTTACTTCTTGTTGAGTCAGACCGACTCATAGCGAGTCCTCCTTGGGTTTCCGAGGCAGTACGGAAGTAGATTGCCCAACCTTCCTTCCGATAAGTGGCTGGTGGATTTGAACCGCCAGTCTTCTGGTTGGCAGTCAAGTGCCTTTGGCAGTACGCTACCAGAGCTCCTTCTCCCTGTTAGGTTCGCATAACTGGGCTTCTTTCTCCGAGCTTTCCGGAAAGTGGCCTGTAGTTCCATCTCCTCCTGGGTACCCATGACTTAGTATGTCTCTATCCCCGCAGTAACTGCACGCCCTATGGATTTTGCCTAAGACTCTTAAATGCTTTCTTGTTGGAAGCTCGCGTGACCACTAGTTATTACTCACTCTTCGTCACTTCCCTTTCGGGGTCTCACCTTTATCTATAGAATGGGAATAATTATTCCTACATGCGTCCTGGGGCTATCGAGAATCTGATAGAAGTATGATTGTTGTTGTTATGTGCAGTCAAGTCGGACCTGACTCATAGCAACCCCTCCTAGGCAGTATCACTATGGAAGTAGCTTGCCTCATCTTCCTTCCGAGGAGTGGCTGGTGGGTTTGAACCTCCAGCCTTCTGGTTAGCAGTCAAGTGCTTTAGGCACTATGCTACCAGAGCTCCCAGAAATATGATAGTAAAATTAAAAAGTTAACGTTGTTGCTGAGCGTAATTACTCATTATGCAAATACGCTGTTTTAGATACCAAGGAACCATCATTGTCATACGTGATTCCTGTCTCCATTTGGACCTTATAGTCTACTGGGAGAGGACTGATGTTGAAAAAGTATAAAATAGTGATGTGATGTGAAGGAAACAAGCAAGGAACCGAGATGCAGAGTTACATGGTTTTACAAGCTTTTTCACCTGCCCCTCCCTCTTCCCATAATGCACGTCATTAGATTTTTTTTTTTTTTTTTTGGATCAAACCACAAATACTTAAAACTTTTATTCAAGTCTTACTTCATCAAAGAGACCTTCCCTGGCCACCTACCTAAAATAGCATTGCACCCTCTCCCAGCTTATCCTGTTTTATTTTTCTTCATAGCATGTTTTTTCTTTGTTTAATGTCTGTCTATCTCTCCCAGCTAGAATGTAAATTCCATGAGAGCATAGTTTTAATTTTGTTCACTATTATGTCCTTAGGAGCTCTGGTAGTGTAGTGCCTAAGGCACTTGACCGCTACCAGAATGGTAGCTATTCAAACCCACCAGCTACTCCTTGGAAGGAAGGTTGGGCGATCTACTTCCATAGTGATATGGCCTTGGAAACCCAAAGAGGGGTCACTGAGTCGAGTCTGACTCTATGGCACATAACAACAACAATTAAGTTCTTGGGAGCTCTGGTGGTGTAGTACCTAAGGCATTTGACTGTTAACCAGAAGGCTGGTGGTTCAAACCCACCAGCTACTCAGAAGGAAGGTTGGGCAATCTACTTGTGTAGAGATACCGCCTCTGAAACCCAAGAAGGGGCCGCTATGAGTCGTAGCGGTCTCTATGGCATAACAACAACAAAAACATGTCCTTAGGGTTTAGGACAGTGCTGGAGACACTCAACATTTAATGAGTGAATGAATTGGTTGATCGGAGAACTCTGAAAATGCGAGCGAAGTAGCAGTAGGGCTCTGTCATGTGTATATTCTTATAGTATTATTTATCACTTATATGCCTCTTTCAGACCATCATGTCCTTAGCATTCTGACTGGTCATGGTAGGCATTAAGTGAATGTTTTCCAAATTGGTAAATGAGGGTGAAAACCAAAGGAAAAAAAAAAAAAAACCCACTACTATCAAGTCAATTTGACTCATGAGTCCTTGGTTTCCAAGGCAGAATCACTATGGAAGTAGATTGCCCAGTCTTCCTTCTGAGGAGTGGCTGATGGGTTTGAACTATCAGCCTTCTGGTTAGCAGTCAAATGCCTTAGGCACTATACCACTAGAGCTCCCAATGATGTTCAAGGTATGGCTAAATTCCTTGAGAGTGGCCCCTATACACTTTAATTGAATCAAACAGTATAGGATTTGAGGGAGCAAAGTTAATCAGTACAGCCACAATTATTTTGCTGTATAATTGTTCCCTATGTAGTGTCTTTTATCCCTCGTTTATGTAGCAGTAGCTGGTGCTGCAAATAGTTAACATGCTTGGCAGCTAACTGAAAGGCTAGAGATTTGAGTCCACCCAGTGGCACCTTAGAAGAAAGGCATAGTGATTTACTTCAAAAAATCAGCCATTGAAACCCCTATGGAGTACGATTCTACTCTGACACATGGGTGATAACCGTGAGGTTTTTGGGTTTTTCTTTTTTTTTCATGTGCCATCTACAGGTTGTCTCCAAATTACAAATTAAACTCAGTTAATTCTGATATAGTTGAATATCTCTTTTTTAATTTTCATTATTGCCTTTTATTAGTATCTGTAAATCCCGTATGTGTTTTTTGAAGTTGGAAACTGTACATATATGTACATATATATAGAGATGTATTTTAATATATACTATACATGCTGGGGGCATGGTGCCTTAAGGCATTTGATTGCTTAGCAGAAGGTTGGCGATTCAAACCCACCAGCCACTCCGTGGGAGGAAGACTGGGTAAACTACTTCTGTAAAGATTTACCGTCTCGGAAACCCAGTGTGGGTCATTATGAGTCAGAACCAACTCAATGGCAATGAGTTTGATTTGTTTGTTTTTTTATATTAAAAGAATACACAAATCATAAAAAATTACTTTAATGGTAAACAATGTTAGTATTTTGTCATTTGCAGTATAACTCCAATAGTGGAAGTTCTGGATCATCTCAATTATCCCTGGGAACAGGGATGGCATTTCTAGTCAGAAAATTAGTGAGAGTTGTCTGTATGGGATTTTTCTTTCTTTCTTCATGTGTTTTGCAGTGACATCTCATTGCTTCCTGAATCTGCATGTCTTAGCAAAGTGATCAGCTTTTTGGGTCCATGTTTTCAAGCAACTGACGCCCCTGATTGGTTTAGAAATAAAACTTCAGCTAATCCTGTCACTATAACATTTTTGTAACAGTCTTCCTCTCCTTCCTTTCTCATTATTCCTTTTGTCTTCAACATTTCTTTCCTCTTCAAAATCTGTTAAGTTCTAATTTGTTGGTTTCCCTTCTTTATGATCTGTGAACTGGTCTACATCAGCAATGTCAAGTTCTGAATTCAACATTCTTGCCATATCAATGATTTTTCCACCGATCTGGTCTATCATATTAACCTGATTAAATGTTTGGAGCATGTTCACCTAACTCAGCAATTTTTTTCCAAATGTTCTGCATGCATTTTCTTCAGACTTCCTCCCAGAACAATTCAGTGTTCCAGATACACTGAAGAATTCAGGCATACCTCAGAGATATTACAAGTTCAGTTCCAGACTGTCACAATAAAACGAATATCACAATAAAGCGAGTCACACTAATCTTTTAGTTTCCCGGTGAATATAAAAGTTATCTTTACCTCATATTGTAGTCCATTAAAGGAACTCTGGTAGTGTAGTGGTTAAGGCATTTGGCTGCTAACAAGAAGTTTGGTGGTTTGAATCCATCAGCCACTCTGCAGAAGAAAGATGAGGGAGTATGCTTCTATAAAGTTTTACAGGCTTGGAAACCCAATGGGGTCACTGTGAGTTGGAATCGACTCAGTGGGAGTGAGTTAAGTGTGTAGTAGTAGTCTGTTAAGT